CTCGTATACAATGGGCATAAGATAAAACAAACTGTACTTTTCTCAAAACCGTTTTCACTTACAGTGATAATCTGTTGTCAAATTAAGTAAACTTGTTATTGAACAAATGGAACTGAGAAAATGAGGTAAGCTTTAGATACAAGGTTATTCTAATCAAAAAACTATACCGTTTATAATGATTGACTACAGAGTACCTGTGTCAATAAAATTGCTATCGTTTCAGACTTTATTATCAAATCGACCTGTGAGAAAAAGCGACAGTTTGCATGCGTGAACTAGTTCACTGAACTAGTTCACGCGTCTTCAGAAAATGTTTAGATGGCTCATGTTTTCAAGGTGAATATGAAGTGAAGTAAATGTTGTTCAGTTATTTTTCAATTTTTGAAAACTAAGGGCAGTAAAACAATTAAAACGATCATTTTAGAAATTGAGCTTTTAAATTTTTTTAAGGTAGTTGTTGCAACTTCAATTTTATTGAGCGTTAGTTGTTTTGGTATGAGTTTAAGTGATAGAAGTGACGTTTACCCATCGATTTAAAAATAACTCAGAGTTCTTTTATATTTCTTAATTGTTGAAAATTTGAACTGCGTATTTCACAAATAATTAAAAGCGGGACTTATTTATCGTAGGTGGAAGCACCTCGCCATGTGTACGGTTAGTTTTTTCAAAATTTTTGATATATTATGGCTGAATTACGGATAAAAATGAGTTGTTGAGTTGTTTGATGGCGGCAGCAGTACGCGAAGAACATTGGAAGACATTGATTTAACAGTTGAGGTACAGTGAGCTATATGCTTCCTTAAAATGGCTGTATATATATATTGGTGTGATGGAAAGTTCTAATGTTTAATGCGTTTAAAATTTTAAAAATTTACCAGAATTAGCTATTTTTGACCATTATAATCTGGATAGCTACCAAACTTAGATCACCCCCATGCTACTGCACATTGACAGAATCTAAAATCGAAGATTTCTTGCTTTCGCACGTTTTCCGTCAATGGTCACTTGTCTGTTTATGCTTCATTTGCGACTAAATGTTGGCTGAAGGTGTAAAAGTGTTAGAATTTTTGAAGTCTTAAGAAAGTTTTTTTATGCATTTAGTTGAGTTTCACAAGTTTTTAACAGTGATCTATTCGCTTATGGAAATTGACATTATATGAAGGATTTTCAAAGTTTTATTGCCAATTTTTTTGAACTAATAGATATAGAGCAACCTCGAGACTACTATGTGCCTTGTAAGAGTTGAAGAGGTCTTTTCTGCTCAGGTATTTTGATCAACACAGATAAGCAATAATAAGCTGCTTAGTTTAAAACTACAAAAATTATTGCATTTACGACTACAGTTTCCTTATATTATGAAATCAGCATTTAATTTCTGAATTTTATGGAGAACAAAAAGTAACGTTTCAAAATTAGCTGTATTGGAAAAATCATTCTCTTCTAATTGAGCTTCTGTGTCATATTTTTTTTGATATCTTGTTATTTATTAATTCTTCGTCTTTGCATAAACCTTGAATTTTTTGGTGTAGTGTTACAGATGTAGTTGGCAAATTTGAAATAATACCGGGTACTATGTACACGACTGCTGCCCCAATTCACGTGTCGGTAGACAATGAGACGAGTTATTTCTGCTTGCATGACGTTCAAGTAAACCCTTTGAGTCTTTATTTGGGCAATAATTCTCTTTTTTTTTTTATGGTTTTGTTTTATGGTTTTTTAGTTACTTTTATAGTTAAATATGCGTGTGCTTACCGGCTACTGATTTTTGTAATGTATAAACGGAATAATTTAACTGCTGAGTCTTTGCTTATATAAGACGTCTAAGTTAGCCTCGAAAAATAAATAGGAAACTAGCTTTTGAGATTGAAAGTGGTGGAGTCATTTCTGTCAAAAATGCAGAAGCGTTTTGCCGTAAAAAGATACAGGGAACGTTGCTCTCTATATTAGGACCAGAAGAAGAAAGGTTTGTAAGAGGTATGTAATCTTCACGTGTATCTCTGCATCCTAAAATGAAGCGCAGGGTAGCTCAGAGTTTTTTTTTCAATATAAGATCGAGATATTGTAAACTAATTTAGAAAAATAATGGAAACATATTTAATTGTCGATGTGGGATAGCAGAAAGTTGCATGACAAAAAGATAGCTTTTATTGGTTAACACTGCAAGAAATAAAGCCACCGCTTTCCTTTAAAAAGTTTTTTACTTTTACTCAGAAATGTGGTCAGCTTATGAAAGAGTTAAAACTCTTTCGTTTTCTACAAAACGGAAGGTTTTTAGATACTATACTGGCTCAGATGAAAACGCAGAACAGTGGTAAATCTTACTGGAGGTTACTTGGAGTTGAGAAATTCTATTTCAAAACACATGAGACCAGCTCTTTGTTTTTCAAGAGGGAAAATAAGACGTTTGCTGGTGGTACAAAACCCTTCTATGTTCTCTCAAAGAGCTCTGATGATTTCGAATATGATGGTGGTGGCCGATGTTTCGCACTAAGCGGGAACTTTTCAAGGTTAAAAGGTAATATATTCAGTCCCTTCAAAGAAAGCCAAACAAAAATAAAGATTTCTGATTACGTTGCATTAATGCCGGCAGCAGCAACGTATGAAAAACCAAATAAGATTATATCACTTTGTAACAAGCTTAAACCACCGTCTGTTCAATGCTTTAAAAAAAATCTAAAAGCGTCAAAAATGTCTAAACTGACAACCAGGGGTGAGCAAAAAGCACATAGTGAGTGATAGCACGACAAACTGATAGAATTGTCATAAAATTATGACAGGTGATATATAAGCAATTAGAGTCAGTCAATCACTCTCAAAAAGTTTTTTTGCGTTGCATATGCTTGTGTTAACGGAAGATTAACAGAACGTAGATTATCGCACCAAAAAATGTGTGAAATTAGATCAATGGTTATATAGTTCTGCTACCATTGGTGAAATTAAAATATATTTTAAAGATTATTTTTTGAGAACTTTTAATAGCAGTGGAATTATTTTCTGGTAATAAAATAATCTTAGGAACGATTGGGCTAGACAAGTTAGCAGGAAAAGTAACTTTTTTTTACCGTTTGGTTAGGAAACTGATGCAATATAGAATTCGTCTTTCAACACTTTCCAAGTAAAATGTACTGTTTGACAGAAGTTCTATCTTTAGATGGTATTTGGATTGTCAACTGCAATCGTTTATGGAAATACATCACTTGCAAAGTTCCTGCTGCACCTTCATTTTCAGGGCCACTGCAACAGGCTTACTTGACGGATTTTGAAGTACCTTACTTAATATAAATTTTTGATCACAAGAACTTGTAAGATTCTGGCATAAGTATTTATTGGTGTGTTGATACTGGCAGCACATTGAAAAAATTTTTCTCAAAGTTGAGTAAGTAAGAATGTCAGTATAATAGTGTTTACAGTGACAGAATGTTGAAAATTGTTTGCGAAAATTACACTTATAAGACGTATTGCTAAAGTCATATGAATTTTTGTACCTTTATAGCTGTAAATCTTTGTTAATTTTTGACAGAGTCTGTTTTAATTTCAGGATCAGATGAAATTGAATTGGCCCGATGTTGTTATTTTTACTGAAGGTATAAAAATATTTCTAGAATAGAAGTAACGAAGAACTAGTTTTTGCTTCAGAGCATTTAGATCAAAATTTTTACAACTCTTACACTAAACTTTTGATAAAGTTGCTTTTTACATGTGTTTAATTTGGTACACAAAAGCGAAACATAGTTTTCAAAACTGTCTTTGATAAGCGGGTTGTAAATTGGCTTTTAAAGGCACTTATGTACCTGACCAATTTTATTAAATTTAAGTGCATTGGTTTACCACATTTGGATTTTTTTGTCTGCTTTTCAGGGTGGACTTACATTTTATGGGCTTTTATGGCTGTAGCGGTGGCCACTGTTGCAGAAGCAAAAATAGTCATGAAAATCTCTGCTGATAAAGTTGGGGAGGGATTTCAAAAGCCGCTGCTCGTCACATTTAAGGAGATTATCCGAAAAAAATTTGAAGATCGTAGATCTGGTGATGTGCTTAAGCACATATATGACGTTGGGATGTCTGATTTTGACCGGTTTTTGTATGAAAGTAATGTCAGAGGTGAATCTCCGATCAGAGTGCTATACGATTCCCCTCAAGCCTTAGATTTTTAATCTTCAAAAGTAATGAAAGAGTACGAGCTTTACGAAGTGCTGTTGAAAATTAGCCACTGCTTGCGATGAGGATGTTCAGATTTTTGAATTTTTAAGTTGTATAATTTCTCTTCAACGCAACTCGCTCTTGCTTTATTTATTTGACTGGTCTTAATATTTATGAAGTTATTGTAGCTGACGCTGTGATTTTTTTACGATTTTTTTGCATTAAAGGCCTTTAGTAGGACTTTGCAAAGCTCATATTTTTTTTTATTTTGAGCTGCGCATTTTAATTCTAGTCAGGAAAACGGAAGAAAAAAATAACACGAAAAAGCTGACTTTGAAGAATAGACTCTGTACAGCTTATTCTGCCGTTGCAATGAAACGCACGGAATTGGCATTGACGCTAAGTTTATTGTGACTTTACTGCCGACTTATTCATATGTCATGCAAAAATCTTTTAAAAAAAGAACAAAATATAAACTTTTTTGATACGTATATTTTATAGAGTTTATGAGAAATGGTGCAGGTTTAGGGAAAGGGGTTATTTTTGTAGTTGTTCGTTGATTTTTGAAAAGTTCACTGTGACGTCATGTGCTATGAAGTAAACGTTGTTGCTTCTCAATGCCTCAACTTCCTCCTCCTTGGTCTTGTAAGCAAAAAGGTGTCGCCAAATGTGCTGAAGTTATTTAAGTGATAGTTTGTAAAACCAATTTTTTCTGCATTTATTTATTGGTAGGTCAGCATCGGTGTTGGTTGTTTTTATTACCATTGTTCTGGTTGTTAGTATGTCGTTAAGACTGAAGCTCAATTGACTTGATGACTTTATATATGTTGTTTGTTATTTTTGGTTGATTACATAAATAAATTTTGGCAAGTCCTTTTCCCAACAAATTTCATTTTATCTGCTCAGGCTTTATGGCATCTTCCTTGGTTTAAAGGACTGCAAATTGAATATTGGACCAGAATCTGCATTGGTTTTATAGATAGAAACCTGTCTAAGGTGGTGGTGCTAATTTAGACCAGTTTGGCAGTGGATTCCTAAAAGGCTTACTTTTTGGCAAAAATAAAACAAAATTTTGAATGGACTGTTAGAAATGCGGTTGTTGTCGGGTTTTTCTGTATCATTCATTTTGTTACTGCTGCAATGTTACCTACCAGCTGCTGGTTAGTGCTTTGATATACTGTTAGCACATTTCCTTTAACGTCTTCGAAAAATCAGTCAGTTAAAAGCTTTTCTCTTTGCTATCCTGTTCTATCCATTTATCATGTTTAGCTTTTTTTTTTCTAAAAAGGTGCTTGGCATAATCTTTAAATTATTTGTTGGTTAACCTGTACTAAATGTTGCATTTTAACTACAGCTGACTAACACCACTGAGTACTCTTTTGATAATATGCAGCGTTATATTTTAGTAACAAAGCAGAAAAAAGTCAGTAACCTAATGCGGTCGTGGCTTCTCTAAAAGCTGCTTCGTCACAAATCTGAATAGTAAAAGTTGCTACAGCACATTCCAGCAGCTAAGTACTTTTTTAGATCAAATTTAGAAGAGACTTTGGCACAAACTCATTTGGAAAACAATTACTGTTGTTTGTTGCTGAGACTTTTTGACACAGATTTACTGAAATTAAACTTTCTTTTCATAGTAGACGGTGTCACCCACCTAAATGTTTACCTACCAATTACTTGCGCTCACTATTCCCACAGCATACATTTAGACGGACTACTGACAAATATTGTCACAAGACTTCTTGTGCTGTAGTTAGTAAAACGGCAGTTTATAAGCTTTTTTTTTTCTATAGTCTCAAACAATCTACACCTCTAAACGTATAGGTGGACTTTAAGGTACAAAACTAGTTTATTATCAGCAACCTCCGAAGGCGTGAACTTAACAAAAAAAAAATTATACTCAGTAGCGTAATTAGCGGGCTCACAGACTGGACTAAAAATCTGATTTTGTCGACATCACAGGGTGGGGGTTTTTTGTTGCTAAAAAAGACGTCAGAGAATGGATAAGCACATTTGGCTCCGTACAGTGGCTATACATAGGAGATAAACCAGAAAGTTGCTGATTTTATGGGCTGGGTTTGTCCTCTAGGTTTAGAAAAAATCTTCTTTAATGTTTGAAATTTTAGACTCAGAGTGTGCGTGTAAAATCTCAACAGAAGCCAAATATTTTTGACCCTTTGCTGATAACTGAAACGCAAAAGACCATCTTGTGGAACCCTACTACATTTCAAAAGCAGAGAATCATAAGTAGAATTTTTAAAAATTGTAATGAACAGAACTGATAAAATCTTGAAGTTTGTAGTCGGAGCTGCAAAAAAATTTCGAAAGTGAAAAACAAAGGCAAGTTATCAAAAAAAATTATGCTAAAAATCAGAAATCATTTATAAAATACAGAAGCGGTGGAAGTGAAAGAAAAAACATGAAAAGTAGTGGAAGAACAACCGCATTAGTAAAACTTTTTCAGATATAAAACGTAAACACTGAAGGAGGAAACTCTTATTTTACATTCTGGTCACCAACCAGTAGAACCCTAAAAAAACAATCACAAATTTTAAAGAAAGGGAATAAGCAATTAGTGTGATAAAAGAGTTGAAATAATTTTTTAAGTTGACGTCGCCGTGCATAAAGCTCAAAAGAAACAATGATTTTTACATCTGCAGTAAGGTCTTTATTAGGAAAAGCACTTGACAAGTTAACCGATATTTTAGTTAAAGAAATTACCACTGTTTTCTTTGAGCAGAGTAGTCTGTTCTACAGTATAGGCAGTTGACAAACAAGACTTTCGTCAACACGGTCGTCGTTAGTTGTGTTTCTTCACTAAGCAGATTGAAAACCGCTAAATTTGGCCTTTATGATAACGGTGCAATGCGTGGCATTTAGCTTTTCAAATAGTCGGTCGTCAAATTTGTTGCTTTAATGGCTGTCACGATTTTTCAGGACGGGTGTATACGCACAGGTAAAACTGCCCTCTGTAGTAACTTGTAAGGAAACCTATAGAGCTACTTTCAAGTTACATAGACGGATATCTGCACACCCACTCATTGTTACCAAATCACTTAGAACCTCTTCATTTTATCAACATTAGTAGCATTATAAAACACGAAGGGTATTCA